AGAACGCCAATAACAGAGATGGGCCAAAGCCAAGGCATTTATGAATCACATTAGCGGGTTAGATGGGGCTCCATGCCTTTGTTCCCTCTGCCAGGGTGAAGGAGAAGGCAGTGGTGGTCATGCAAGGCTCAGGTCATGGGCCGCCATGTTTCGTGGGGCTTGTTGCTCATGTTATTTCTTTCTTCATTTTTTGGTGAGGAAGATTGTCCCGGAGCTAACATCTGTGCCACTCTTCCTGTGTTTTTTCTATGTGGGATGCTGCTACAGCATGGCTGATGAGCAGGGTGTAGGTCCTTGTCCGGGATCTGAACCTGCGAACCCCAGGCTGCTGAAGCGGACCACGTGAACTTAACCACTACACCACCAGCTGGCCTGCTCATGTTACATTTTGAGGCATCCTAGGTCAGTGCTTGGAGGGAGCTGAGGCTTTGCAGGGCCTCTGCATGGATCATCTCGATGTAATCCTCCTCCTGTGAGTTCATTTAAGATCTTCAGTTACCTGTATTTTTGAGAGAATCTGCATCATGCAGTTTAAGAACAATGGTTCTGCATTCAGTCCATTTTCTGGTGGTCCGCACAAATACAGATTCCAAGACTTAATTGTTGGGCGATCGTGGGAAAGTCCCAGAACCTCCCAGAACTCCAGCCTCCTCCTCTGGAAAATGAGGATACTATAGCACTCACTTCAGAGGGGTGAAGCCCAGTGCCTGGCACATGGGAAGTGCTCAAGGTAAGTATTCATTACTTTATCATCATGATGTCATCAACATCATCCTCATCAAATAGCAATGCTCTCCTGGGACAAAGGGAACATCTTGATAGACCAAAAAGGAACCCAGTCTCGCAGAAAGGAGACACGAGACACAGAGTTCCGGGGTTGTTCAGACTCCGGCGCCCGCTCTCTGAGGGCAGTGGGGAGGACCCAGCCTCGCTCAGGAGTAAAGGGCAAGGGCGGGAATGAATCAGAGCTGTCGGCTGGCCAAGTGGAAGAGCTCAGAGACCCGGAATGAAGTACCAGTTTCTAAGGAAGCCAGGCAATGGGTGTGGACTGAGATGAAGCAGCAACCAGGACGTGGGGGGAACCATCTAGATCAGGATTTTCCAACTCTGTTCCACCCACCCGGTCCACTGGTTCACGCTCCATAAGCAAAGGGCACCATGGCCACGTAAGCGGGCAGACTGCGGCATACTCTCCCTCCTTCTTGGAGAACCGCAAAGCATGTTTGTGTTATAAAAGCTCTGAGAAGTTCTGCGGTAAAGAAATCCATTGAATTTGGTTTATCTCAGTAATTCCTAACCTGTTTCTCTCTGGAACCCTTTCATTTTATTTTAGTTTATTTCATACAATAATACATACTTTCCATGAATATACCTTGGGAGAGATTGATTTAGACCAAGAGAGTTTGGAAGAATTATCTTCTCCAAGACTGAAAAAACAAAAGATTTTGTATGGAATGTATGTGTTTTTAATGCAATCTGCCTGAATATCATTTTCTTTTTAAATGTGTAGATAGACTAACTGCCACTTCTAGCTTATTGCCCTGTGCCTGGAAAGGTTGGTCTGAGACATTGTAGCTATTTTAAGTGACTTAATTAAGGATGAGGGATGGGAAATATCTGTGTTCTCAATAAATGATAATATCAATACTCTTCACAATTGTCAGCTGTGGCTACTGTTTTTGAAATCCCGTCCAAATGCCCTTCCTTACACTAAGCAGGGGGCATCCACTATCTCATTTAGCCCCCCCAAAGAGGAAACTGAGACTCAGAGGGGTTAATCATATCACTAGAAAGTACCAAAGCCAACATTTGAATCCAGGATCAACCCTTGGGACAAAGTGATGGCCATCACGTTGCCACCCAGCAGGAACCTGCTAATCCTTCATTCCCATCCACATCCTGAGTCCTCCCAGAGAGACTCAGGGGTCACCCCTACTGTCAGGAGCCAGGGCTGCCCTGAGCGATCGGAAGCTGAGACCCAGATCACTTAAAAATCTCCCCGTCCTGCCGAGAGCCTGCTGGATCACCGCAGGGCTGTGCATGGCTTAGCCTCTGCCGGGCTGGATGGAGGCGGGTCTCAGGCCCCCACTCTGTCACATGGACCTTGTCCTCTGTGTGTCAGACCCCGCTGTGTGTTGTCTCAATGTTGCTTTCGTTTTCTGAGGCTCACACTGTGCACACAGAGACTTCACACACGTACATTCGTGTGCTCTATCGTACGTGAAGGCCCAGCAATTCCAGTTTGCCGGGGACTGTCCTGGTTTTAGCATTGAAATCCCACATCCTGGGAAATCCCCCAGCTCTGCAACCAGGGACAGTGGGTCACCCTAAATAGGCCCTTTTGCCCAAGAAAAGATTGACACGTAAGACTAGTCAAAAGACAAGGAGCCCTCAAAAACAACCAGCGCGACAGGAAAACGCAGTAGAAGAAAGCAAGTGTGCTCTGACTGTTAAAGGAACAACAGAAAAATCCCTCCGTGGGAAAAAAAAAATCCTCAACACGGTATTCTTTATTAAATCCAGCACTTTACTAATTTAAAAAAGTGCTTTTAAAGTAATACCCCTGTACTGCATTACTCACTAAAATAATCACATTAAAAATAGTTGTCATTCGAGAGTGTTTACCAGGTTCCTCGCTGGGCCCTTGACACAGAGCATGTCACTGAATTTGCACAACCACCCCATGAGGTCGCAGCTGCTTTTACATATCATTTGACAGGTGGGGAAACTGAGGCTCAGGCAGGTTGGGTTGCTTGCCCAAGGTTCCAGGTAGGAGCTGCCTGCTGCAGACACCTTGGACTCAGGTGGCCTGAGCACAGGCCCGTGGCACCGCCTACTGTGCCATCCTGCTCCCTGTGCCAGAGACGGGCTCTTAGAGAAACCAACAGCTTTGGGTGATAATTGTGCCAGAGCATCAGCCTCCTGAGGGGAGCTCCTTGTTCTCACCGCATCCTCAGAGTACCTGGCGTGGGACCTGAACCACAGCAGATGCTCAATCAATGTCTGCTAAGTTAGACTGAAGTGAAAAAAAATCTGTGTGTTCTTTGCACAGAGCAAAATGTATTTTGCAGAAGGCCTGGTCTGTTTCAGGCCTGGGTTGTTTTTCTTTATTTCTCCACTAGAATAAAACCTATTTGAATGTCTGTCTCCTTATTGCATTATAAACTTTTAGATATAACACATATATACAGGATATGTACAAAAAGGATTATCACCTCTCTTATAATATATATAAATTATATAGCATGTGTATGTGTATATATATATATATTTATAAAGACAAGCCCATATTGTCTTATTCAGCGCGGGATCCTAGCTCCTACCACAGTGCTTGACACAGTAGGGGCTCAATAAATATTTGTTGAGTGAAAAAATGACTAAACAGAGGCTGCCCCAAAAGAAAACACTGGATAGAGAGAGTTGTGTTGTTCCTAAGGACATTTCTCCATCCACTTTTCAAACAACAAACGGGTCTTGTCTGAGTCCAGTAATTTTGGACAAAGGGGTGGGCTGCCTCGGCGGTGAGCATACTGCCTCTGGGTTCTTGTTTCACAGCAGAAAAATGTACAAACACACTCTGCACCCTCTCCTTCAGCCAGAACCACTGGTCACCTCTCAGGTCGGGCCCACTGGGAAAACGGCAGCTCCTGGGCTCACGGGGATTGGGGGCTGGGTCACATGGAAAGTCCGTAGATGAAGAGACCGTCAGATTTTAACAGCAAATACGTGCACAGCACTTCACTCGGTGCCCGGCCTGCTGTTGAAATGTTATATACATAGTTAACCCAGCTACACTTCACAACAACGCCGTGAGGTTGGGGCCATTTCATTCCTAATTTACAGATAAGAAAATGAAAGTACAAAAGGTTACATAACTTGCCCCGGGTCACAGATCTTATAAGTCTGGCTGAGTCCATGGTCTTAACCCCTGTAAGGCATTTCCCACAGCCTGCAAAGCAAAGAATGAAGAGTTGTTCCAGGAGTCATTTCCAGAGAAGCCACTAGTGGTATTCATTGTGCAAGGGACTGGCAATCCAAAAGAATAAGGACCCACAAAACTATTAATATTAAATAACAAATAATGGAAATAGTGTATTAAAATTAGTAACAATGGTATTTTAATTATATTAATTGATATATCATATTAAGGATAATAGTTATAATAATCTAATGGAAATAATTATATCACTAATTAATATAATTAATATTAATATGGTTCACATCATTAACTATTTTATAAAATCTTAATAATAATCAACACTAATAGCTACCACGAGTGAGCATTCTCTACTTGTCAGCACCTAATGGATATTTACTTGTTTTTATAACAAGGAAGTAAGTGCTTTTTAATTTTTAAAATTTTTTATATTTTTCATTTTTTTTAAATTTCAACTTTAATGAGGTATAATTGACAAGTAAAATTGTAAGATATTAAAAATGTACATCATGGTGATTTGACAATATATCTATACATTGAAAAGGTTCCCCTCATCTAGCTAATTAACACTAATTAACACACCCACACCTCACATATTTATCTTTTTTTTTTTTTTGGTGAGAACATTTAAGTTCTACTCTCTTAGCAAATTTCAATTACCTAATACGGTGTTATCAGTGATAGTCCCATGTTACACGTTAGATCCTCAGACCTTATTCATCTTATAGCTGAAAGTTTGCACCCTTTTACCAAACTCTCCCTATTTCCCCCATCCAACTAGCCCCCGGTAATCACTTTTCTACTCTCTGTTTCTAGGAGTTTGGCTTTTATTTTTTATTCCACCTATAAGTGACACCATGCAGTATTTGTATTTGTCTGTCTGGCTTATTTCACTTGGCATAATGCCCTGAAAGTCCATCTATGTTGTAACAAATGGCAGGATTTCCTTCTTTCTCATGGCTGAATAACATTCCAATCTAGAAAGGGACGAGTCATTTGAATTTGACTGTGGAACAGCTTCTTTTCCACCTAATCCCAACTTTTCTTTGTCAACAACATCTTATTTGTGGAGAAAACCTGTATTTATTAGTTCATGAGACTGTCTCCTCTACCTGATTCTAAGTTCTCCGTGGACACGCTGTGTTTTTATGATCTCCAGCACTCCAACCTCGGGATCAGTCAAGGCTTAGTGAGTTGAATGAAAGACCTTTCACAGGCCAACCCAAGCAGAGGCGAAGCTACAAACTCCAGAAGGCAGATACCACGTAGCAGAGGTGTCTACCCTCTCTCCACCCTCAGTACCCCACTGGGCGTTTGGCAACCTTCACAAGATCAAACGACAAGCCTTCTTGCCATCAATCTCCACGGATGTGGGTGCCCCCAGGGTGTGACAACTCCTGAAGATCACTGCTGAACCCATTTCAGCTTTTCTTTCTAAAGTCCCCAGACTTTGTCTTTTTGAGCTGTCTCCAGAAGCTTCCCAAAGGGGATTTTCCTTGCTCTTGTAAACTACAGATTTATGTTCCGAGAGTGGATTTTTCCCAGCTTAGATGAGTTCTCAGTTGCGGGTGTTTTCCTTCAGGCAGAAGTGTGTGAAGCAGAGGACATGGGAGAAACTGCTTTGTAGTGAGATGCGGAGACTAGTTCTTACCTGTGAGGGGTAATTTGCAAGGAAACGTGGTGTGGTGGAAAAGATGTTGTTTTCTGGAATTAGAAAAACATGTGGGTTAGCTTCTTGTTGCTCTATGACTTCAGGCAAGTTACCTGCCCTGTCTGAAAGTCCCCCATGTCCTTATCTGTAAAAATAGGAATGATGGTATCTATCTTGTAGGTTGCTAAGAGGATAGTCATTGTTATTCATTGCCTTCTCTTTGATACCTATCCTTGTCCCCGTCTGTCTTCCCTCTCACCTGCTCCATTATTTCCATCCATTTTTGGTCTTTTTTCTGGACCCCATCTTTCCTTCCAGCTGTTCCAACTTTTTAACCTTCCCTCGCTTCTTTCATCTGCTTGCCTTATACCCTACATAACTTGGCTCTCTTTATGAATCTATTTTCTTTTTTAATCTCAGCTTCTGTCTATTTTTGGAAGAAAATCTCACTTGGTAACTGCGGACGTGAGTGGGGTTCATTCAAACACAGTGAGTTGAATCGATCCAGCTGTTGGAGCCAGGACTTCTGCTGGAAAACACATTGTGATGTATGTTTGGAACACTTTTCCCCTCCATTTGGCGTGACTTGGATGGCTGAAATGAAGCCATAGTGTGTGTCACTGAATGTCAGCTGTAAATGGGTCTTGTTGACCCACACCTGATAGCTTTCAACGAAAGAAGTTAGCAAAAGAACATCAAAACAAACCAAGGAAACACAGAAGAAGTGGTGAATAGAAAATCAGACAGTGAGAACTCAAAAATGACCAACATTTGGTAAGTAAGCATAAGACGTTGTTCTTTGAGAAATAAACATATTTTAAAAGGACAAGTTATTGAAAACTTTAAAGAAGAAAAAAAAATGAGGAAACCGAAATGTCCCAAGTTGGCAATGAGAAACAAGATATGAAGTTATAAAGGGGCTATTCAAAGTTCTAAGAGAGTGCTATATGTCACTATCAGGATTTTTCTGTTTCCTGGTCAGGGAACGACACCACCTGTCTGGCGGTTGTCATACTGTGGTGGCTGCGTGTTGCTGTGATGCTGAAAGCCGTGCCACCGGTATTTCAAATACCAGCAGGGTCACCCATGGTGGACATGTTTCAACAGAGCGGGCAGGGTTCTGCTCTGCTGTCTGGGGGGTGCTAGGAGTTGGAATCAACTCAACAGCACTAACAACAAATCGGGATTGGTCAACCTCAGCACTACTGACATTTGGGGCTGGATGATTCTCTGTGTGGTGGGGACTGTCCTGTGCATTGTAGGATGTTTAGCAGCATCCCTGGCCTCCTCCCACAAATGCCAGTAGCAACCTCTGTCCCCAAGTTATGGCAACCAAACATGTCTCCAGAAATTGCCAAAAGTCCCCAGGGGGCAAAATGACCCCTGGCTGAGAACGCTTGTTCCATATTAATCACTTTGAAAAATCTCAGTGACGTGGAAAATATTCTAGGGAAATATTAACGATTTCGCTGAAAAATTAGTCTGTGTGTGCATGTATCTCTAACATGTATAAAAACCAGGGAAAACATTTGCAAAGTTCTCAACATGTCACCTCGAAAAAGCAAAATTCTGGGTCAAAAGGAACCTATCAGTGAGTTACATTTCATGCGCAAGAGATAATAAATTATCATTCTCTACAAACTGACAAGGTGACCAACCAGCCTGGTTTTTCTGGGACAGAGTGGTCTCCTGGGATGGGAGATCTTCAGAGTGAAAATCCGGAAAGTCTCAGGGGAACCAGGATGAGCTGGCCATCCTAAACCTTTCCCATAGGGAATGGGAGAGAGTTTGCCAATTCAGCACTAAAAAGAGAATGTACAAGCCACACCCACTTATGAATATAAATGAGAACACAATAAACAAAGAAATGTTCAAGTTAAATCCTGTGGTATGTAAAAGTAGTGTTTTTGTTTACCTGTTTGTTTAAGGAGATTTGTTCAAATAAAATCATTTGTGAAGTCATAATTTGTGGCAGCAAGGGTGGTGTGGATGGCCCTCTCTTCCGGGTCTCTCTCTCTCAGAACCCCAATCTCCCCTTCCTTCTTTCCTACTCCTTCCCTAAACCCACTCCCATGTATTCCCTAAGGGGCTCCATGGAACCCCCATGCCCTGGGGTGGGAGCAAAGCTGGAAATCCTACATTAAAAGAATAACCACCGCGGAGCAGTAGGATCTATGCCAGTGATATAACATGGTCCAACAGGATTATTTTGATGGGGATCAAAGGTGTTTCATAAATTCAAAATCCATGTGACTTCAAACAAGAACAATAACCAAGTTTCATTAAACCTAGAAGTATGAAGCACGTTCCTAGAACAAGGGCCGATTATCTTTCCCAGATCACTAGCAGCATCATTCATGGAGGCCTTCCCAATAAAGTCGGGAACAAGGAGTCCCGTGACAACCCTTAATTTAATAATTTTTAAGAAGTTTCAGCCAATGCAATAAAGCAGAAAAAACCAGATAAGATGAAGATACACTAGAAAGAGACAGGTGAAATGTAATTATTTGCAGATGAGCTGAGGGAATCCATGGAAAATTTTAAGAAATCACCAGAGAATTAAAAAAAAAAAGAGCTCAAACCTTCTCTAGTTTTTCAAATTCACCTAATGGAATTCCAAAAAGAGATTTTTAAAGGGACTCATCAAAATTAAGTGAAAATGATCTTCAAGTTACAATTAGGTGAGAGTAGCCATGAATTTTTATGTGGAAAATAAGAAAGGACTTGTACTATCAAATTTAAAACATATTACAAAGCCACAAAGATTCAAACAGTATGGGCTTAATGCAAAATAGACACCTAGACGCATGGAATTAAATATAAAATCCTGTAAATACTCCCAAGCATAGATAAGGATATAATCCATGATAAAGACGGAAGTTCAGACCAGTGGAGAAGCGGTCATTAGATCAAAATCGATGCTGTGACACATGATAAACTGTTTGACAAAATAAAGTCAAACTCTTACCTTATGCCACGTAGCAAAATTAATATAAGTAGGTTGAGTCACCTGTAAGCAGTGAGATTATAAAAGAATTAGAAAGAAATACAGATGAACTTTTATCTGAACTCTGGGTGGAGGAGTCTTTTTTAATCACAAAAGGAAAGGCAAAAGTACAAGTAATATATTAAACCAAATAAAAAGTGAAAACCAAAAAAACACCATAAAAATCCAAGGGAAGATGACTATAGGAGAAAATATATACATTATGGAAGTAAAATGATTATTGGTTTTATTACGTGAGGAGTTATTATAAATTAATAAGAAAATAAATGTATAAATAGAAAAAACCAGGCTGAGGATATACGTGATGAGTTTCCAGAAAGAAATATCAATGGTAGATTAAAGCTATACAAAGATATTCAACAGCATTATAACAAAAGCAATGCAAATTAAAACAAGATACTGTGTTTTGCTTACCAAATGGGAAAAAAATATAGAGTAACAAATATTAAGGTGGTGGGGAATACATGGAGACATGTCACCAGGATGTATACACAAAGATAGTCATAACAACACGAGAGGGAAAAAGGAACTTAGCTATTCAGCAGTAGCCTCTTCCAGAAAGTATGGTCATACTATACAAGGGACAATTATATATAGGGATTAAAACCACGGTGTTAAAGAATACGAGGAAATATTAATGCCAGATAAAATGGAAAAAGAAAGTTCTAAAAAGAAACTGCAGTGCATGAGAGCACTTATGCCAAAACCCAAAATATATACATATCTATACACCAAGAAAAAGAGTGTAAGGATCGATACATATAGTGCCGGTGGTTCTCTGATTGGTGACTTTTTAGTTTCTTCTTTACACATTTCCGTATTTCCCAAATTCTTATGTGTTATTTCTTTGATCATAATAAAGTACATAAATATTTATAAAAATACTATCAATACGTCTGATCAAGAAACTGTCCTTTGAGCTGAGTTCTTTATTTTGAACACATCAGCATCTACTTATTTTCTTTCAGGACTTGTCAAACCCGTCAGTCAGGGACAAACAACATTTACTGGGATGATGAGGGCTCAGAGAGGTTCCAAACCACAAATATTTCCCTATGGGGGCTTGGCAGGCAGCTGATACGGATCAGTTTGGATTAAGTGTTGTCTTTTCCCTTCCTCGTAACAGCCGGGTACCTCTGGGTGGGGGAACACTGCCTGAGTCCTCGTAGGGGCTGGATTAGCGCTGGCTGACTTGAAGTGAATTGAAGGCAGAGACACTGTAAAATGGCTGTGTTGATTGCACCAGTGTTTCTTCCCTGGAGAACACAGGAGACCCAGGGATCTCTGTAAGATTTGTCTCATAGGCGTGATTGACTTTATTTCTGAAGTCACTACGTGACTGGGACGTGGAGGACAAGAGGACGTAGAGTGTCCCATAGGAAGGCACCGATACTGAAGAGTAGCTGAAAATTGGGACATAAATGCATAAAGCACATTTCTCTATACATATTTCTTTTCGGATCCACCCTCATAGGAGCCATATTCTTGGTAGATAGACTCTTGACTGGTTGTTGGTCCAAGTAAGGCATTCATTTATTCATTCACTTACTTATACGGCATCCATGAGCCATGTGGTTCAGGCTCAGGCCCCGTCACTGTTAACAAAACACGGACAATGAAAAAGTAATTTCCCAATAACTCAGGATCTTTGCTTATACTTCCCGGACATGGCGAAATGGACAGGGACCTTTTTCCTTATTCCTAATCACTCTTCTTGTGACTCCATCTAACAGAACCTGCGGACTCAGTAGGGCAAGAGCTGAAGCTCTGAGGGAGATAAACCGGGCAGGTGGACCAGAATCCTCCTTAGTGTGTAGGAAGAAGGAAGAACAGCTCCCTACTCTGTGTGAATCACTGTTGGGGGCACTTCACCTCCCTTCTTATTTAAGTCTCACACCAACGATACAAATGAGATGATAGCATCCCCGTTTTGCAGATGAGGAAAAGGAAGTTTACGGCCAGCAGGTATGTAAACTTGAACATGAACTTGGATATATCTCATTTAGCATTAAGATGAACCTTCTTCCCACCGTGTTCACGTCTGTT